CCCTGTATCTGGGACAGGAGTGGTTCCTGTCGGATGTTCAGGGGCATTGCCACACTGTATCTGGGACAGCAGTGGTTCCTGTTGGATGCTCAGGGGCAGTGCCACACTGTATCTGGGACAGCAGTGGTTCCAGTCAGATGCTCAGGGGCAGTGCCACACCTTGGCTCGCTCTTATAGCACAAACGTGCGATGCAGTACCAGAAGGTGTAGATAGGGATCCGTATTGTACATTTTTTAGCAGACGCATATTCCTGAGAGAGCAGGACTGGTCAGTCCCTGCAGTGATTGTGGGTTAAGTGACTCGCTCAGGGGCCCAAAAGTGACACCACTCTGCTGACCCCGGGATTTGAACCTGCTACTTTCCTATGACAGGCACAGGGTCCGAGCCCACTGAGCCACACACTGCCTCCCCCACCACCTTAGGACTGGCTGAAGGGTCAGTTTATTCCTTCCTGAACCACAGAGACAAGAGCTGGACTCTGGCTGTAGACCCCAAGTGCGTACATCAGAAGGTCGTTATCGAGTGCGTACATCAGAAGGTCGTTATCAAGTGCGTACATCAGAAGGTCGATATCAAGTGCGTACATCAGAAGGTCGATATCAAGTGCGTACATCAGAAGGTCGTTATCAAGTGCGTACATCAGAAGGTCGTTATCAAGTGCGTACATCAGAAGGTCGTTATCAAGTGCGTACATCAGAAGGTCGTTATGTCGCATTTATTCATCTGCAAATAAAACAAACTTTGAACCCATTAAGCGACAGCAGAGGATAAATATCCATGTCAGAGATAAACACCAAGTGAGAACAAAAATGAGGAATCCCCCCCCCCCCCCCCGCTGCCCCCGCCCCGAGAGGCTTGCTGCTCCACAATGTTAAGGAAGCGCTGCTCTTACCATAAAGAAATCGCTGAGAGACTGGAAGCGACGGCCGAAGAAGAGAGATGCTGAAAACAAGAAACTGACGGTGTTGTGTGTGTCTGAGTGTTTGACAGCTGAAGGAGCATGGGGCCCAACGGGAGGCGGCGCTAAGGAGGGGAGAGGAGAGGAAAGGAGAGGAGAAGAGAGGAGTGGAGAGGAGAGGAGAGAAGAGGAGTGGAGAGGAGAGAAGAGGAGAAGAGAGGAAAGGAGAGGAGGGGAAAGGAGAACAGAGGAAAGGAGAGGAGGGGAGAGGAGAGGAGAGGAGCCGCTCTGAGTGCCGGAGTTTGTTTTGCAGCTCGATCCCCCGGCGGCTCATAGGGTGGATGGATTGTCCCAGACCACTTTGAATCAACTGGGAACAGTTTGATCACAACATATACAGACTTCCTTATTTTATAAAAAGGCTATTAAAAAAAATTGAGTCACATTTCTTCTCTTAAAAGCATTCATCTGAAACAACAGATTAATTAGAAATGAAAACAGTATCGGGAAAAAGAAGATTACTCAGCACACGCAGTAATTCCGAAAATCATACCACTCCATATTATAAAACCCCAAAGACACTGTCGTTTACCCCCAAGAAAGTTAATGATCAGAACAGATCAGATCAGAACACAAACTGAGACAGAAAGACAGACAGAAGGAAAGAGAGACTGACAAAGGAAGCAGACATCCTCTCAGAGTGAGTGGATAATGGATGTAAACTGAATATAGCAACAGCTGTCCTAACATTATGTAAACTGTGACCAAAGCGGCCCTCAACTTTCACACATCAAGTGTGTTTAACGCTGCGTCGAGCCTTCAGTGTCTGCCTTTTCCTTTCTGTCATGTGACATCCTCGCCACTCAGAATGGGCATCTCCATCTCCTTCATTGTGCCAATTAGTTCTAATTTGTTTTAAACGAACCTCTGGGCACGCAAACTGTAGAAATGCCATCGGCCAGTCTGACGAGGCTGAGATAAGGCCGATTCGGCACGGCCAACCAAACCATTTGCCAGAGTCTCTTTTTAAATTCCAGCTCAATAATTCTGAACGAACAGCAGTCAGACATACATAAGAAGTTATATTCTTTCGACAACTTCTACAACATGCCCTTGTATTTTGTAAATTACAATACCTTTTAATGTAAATTAGAGCCAGCCTCATTCGTGACAGCCAACACACTGTGGACCCCTTGGTTAATGTCAAGTATACAGGCGGGAACGTGGCATGGAATTCTGGGAATGCATGGCCTAGGACAACACCAAACATCAGAAAGTAAACTTCCACACAACACGAGTGCGATGGAGATGCTGGAGAAATGTGGGTTACAGATTGATCAGCCAGGTCGCTCATTTCATTTAAAGAACATTCTGGTAAATCGTTACCACATGTATAATGTCACAGTACTGGCACAGTATTCAGTCATTATACAAACAGGTTCAATATCTGAGAAAAGTAAGCAAAGAAAAATAACTCCAAAAACCTGGAATGAAATCAAAGTAAAAAAAAATGCATAGAAAATTCAATTCACAATTTTACACAGAACTTGAGATACATCTCAAAGAGGACAATCAGGTCCCTTTGTTCCATGACTTTCAGAGCTCCAGTGACAGTTCCCATGGAAACAGGGCGTCAGCCCAGACCCACGTCCAGTGACATCATCACCACGAATCCCAAGATGGAGGTGCACGAAGCCAGCTTCCCGTTGCCACTGCGGACACAGAAGCATGGGAGTGTTACTTTGGGGACAGATAGGGGGCGCAGAGGGTGATATGAGGACGGGGGGGGGGGGCTTCCCTGAAAATGACTGGTCACTTGGGAAGCAGTATTACTACACCAACCGGGAGGAAGGAGGAAGGAGATATGCGTAGGACCTCACTGACACTGTACAGAGCTAACATCACCGTATAACTCCCCCTCCCCCATATGCTGAAATGCACCACCCTCTCACCTGACTTGTGCCTCAGGGATGATGTCGTCCATGACGACGTACACCATGGCACCCGCCGCAAAGGCCAGGGCGTAGGGGAGCAGCGGCTCGGCCATCACCACGGCGACAGCGCCCAGCAGCCCGGCCGCAGGCTCCACCATGCCGCTCAGCTGGCCGTACCTGTGGAGGCGGAGCTGCCCGTGAAACGTGGCACGGGGTCACGGGGTCATGGGGCACGGGGTCATGGGGCACGGGGACGCGGGGTCATGGGGCGCGGGGTCATGGGGCACGGGGTCATGGGGCACGGGGTCGCGGGGTCATGGGGCACAGGGTCGCGGGAGCCTTGGTTCAGACAGGAAAGCGGGGCAGTCACTGCACATGACCCTCAGCTGGGGAACGACAAGATTAGGGAGACAGGAGGGGAGTCTGGCACCCTGGGTGAGCCCAGAAATTGATTGGCCCGCAGTAACAGGTCGATAGGTAAATCAACTGTCTGATTGGTTGATTCAGACTGAAAGGATAAAGGACTGATTTGGCTGTTGACAGGTCTTGTGCCACAAGACTGGAAGGTGTGATTTGAGATAAATAGACAACAACGAAATTAACCTGCTTGGTCCAGGCTCTCTCTGTCCCTCTACTGCTACTCTCACGTGTGGAAAAAGGTTTCCAGTGACAGACAGGCTGTCGTTAAGAGCCAATCACTAATTACTCAGCCAGAAACAACAAGCCACCAGCCCAGCCTGTGAGGGGAGTTTCTGCTTCGGGATTCAAGTTTTTGTTCTCAGAGTATTACAGGAACTTTGGGGGATTTTCTTAAACAAAAACAAATCTAACACAATGATGGGTGTGTGTCTGACCCATGAAAGCAGCGCCTTTCCCTCCACAGCATCTTGAACTAAATCACATGTCATCGGCACCAGTTACTCACCAGAATGCACGCCACGGTGACACACCCGTACCCCGGAGAGGCAGGCTCACTGCAAGGCCTTCTGGGAAATTCTGGATCCCGATGCCGATGGCCAGATTCCTAGAAATGGGAGTGAGGGAGTTAATGAGAGGTTAGGCCTCTGTGAGGGTGAAGATTGCTATAGAAAGGCATGCTGGGAGATCCGGAGGGAGCCCCAACCAGCATGGCAGCGTGTTCCTCATGTGGAGAGACAAGATCACAAGGGAGGAACCAAGACAGGGCAACCCGAGTCACTGTGCGGGGCAACCCGAGTCACTGTGCGGGGCAACCCGAGTCACTGTGCGGGGCAGCTCGAGTCACTGTACACACATCATCTTGGCTGTGTTAGGGTAAAGGTGCAGTACTTGGTAGATGATCTGCCCCCCATGGGGTGAATTCCCTCGCTGATTGCACCAAGTCTTTAATCTGTTCTACACTTCAGAGAGACTACAAACCCACCACGCTCATCCCTGACCTCACATTTCCAGCAGCAGCCCCTCCCAAGGCCACCAGCTCAGCCAACGATCAGGGGCTTTTCCACGGCAACCAAAAATCAAGCCGTAACTGAGCTGCACCTCCAGCTAACGTCTTTCCGCTGTAATTTATGCATTTACAGAAGCTAATGCTAATTTTGCTAGCGTTTGATGCTAACATAAGATGGCGATTCTCACAGACATGCTAGCGGAAATTAGCACATAGTAAATCATGATGCACCTTGTGTGAACAGTAAATAAGGGTCTCTGGGGTTTTACGCCTTTGCCGAGCCGACCCTCCTGCAGTGGAATGTAACTAGTCTCTGTCCGCGGTTCGGCTCGGCTGCGGGTCGGTTCCTGCTCGCCAGTGGAAAAGCATCATACATCAGAGAAGGAAGTGGCTCCCTCTTGCTAGCAGGCAACCCGAGAGCTCACAGGTATCCTGGCATCCCTGAAATACTGCGCTGCCTGACACACACAGGCTTATACACAGCAGACAGCCCCCCCCCCCCCCCGCTCTTCCGCACATATTATTCATGTTCCGGGGCCCCATGAGAGCCAAGAAAACACATGCAGGGTGGCTGCACATATTAAGAAACGGAAATGTCAGACGTTAATCATTATAAACAAAAGCATAACCTCAAATGAGGGTTAATGCCGTCCTGCACTGGGAGCGTTTTCCCTCCCACGGTCTCCCCCAGGAAAAGAGTGCATTCCTTGCTAATATTAGCAGCGGGCTTGTAGCTTTTAATTTGCTGATTAATTTGAAGGACTCCAGAACGGCGCGCAGCTCAGGACGGTATTACAATACGAATGCACACAGCCCCACGGCAGTCTCCGCTGAAACTCAAACGAGGACCACGACCATGCCTGAAGAGCGGGATAGACAGGCGTGAATAACCTCCCAAAGTGTGACGGCTTGCATCCTGAGCCCCGCCAGCCGACGCAGACCCCAGATCACACAGACCTACGCAGATCAAACAGCAGCCTGTGGGACACTGGGCAACTGAACTGCAATTGGGTGTGTCTGTCTGCCCCCCCTCCCCCCCCAAAAAAAGGCGTCTGGCCGGTATCAGCTGCAGACAGATTTGGAAAATGAGAAAAGTGGCTGTTTTTACAAAAGGACCCCCCCCCTCATACACACAGACACATATCACTCTCTGGCATGCAGTTCATATCTTGCCCCAGGAGAATGAAGATTAATGATGACTAGTTATGGCAGGGCAATAATAGCAGAGATCAGCTAGTGGGAGAAAGGGCATGAGTGTGTGTGTGTGTGTGTGTGTGTGTGTGCAGAAATGGAAGTGCCCACGGACACTTCATTCATTGGGCCACCTGCGTGACTTAGTATAGATCTCCAGTTTTCTTTGGTATTCCCCAAAAACCCATCAGATTCTCTCAGTGCAAAAATGGGGAATCCGGGTCGTCATGACGATCGTTGGACAATCTGCCGAGCAGGTCCCCGAAGCGCGTGTTGGGAGCGCAGGGCCGACCGCTGCCCACGAGGAGGTCCCCGAAGCGCGTGTTGGGAGCGCAGGGCTGACCGCTGCCCACGAGGACCTGTAATCATGCCAACTGCCTCAGTAGGGCTCCGGTAAAGACGAGGGAGGCGGCAGGAGGCTTGTTTGGCTTATGTCTAGACGATCTTCTTGGCTGAACCCGCAAGGGAAACCATACTGACACTTAAGAGTGAGCATCTGCTGGTCTGTGGTGGGCGTCTCTTCCGGGACGGCTCTGGGTGCACGCCAGGTGGGGCGCGTGGAATCGAAGACCTTCCTCCTGCAGGCTTTCAGACCTGACCCCACCCTCAGGACCCAAAACCCCAGGGAGAAGAGAAGACGAGGCAGGGTGTGGTGTAGCCCATGATGATGCCGTCCTAGGGAGGCCGGTGCCAGGCGGTGATCTGGATTTACTGCTGGGGCGACAGACAGACAGACAGGGAGCGGAGGAGAGCAGGAAGGCTGGATGTCTGAGCAGAGGTTGGCCAACATGTCTGCGACTCAGAACTTCCAGACAAACCTCTGAGGTCAATGGCTATATCTGAGGACACATAGCTTTGAAATGTAATAGGTTACAGGTTCCTTGTTACAAAGTTAAAAAATTACTACCCAGTTAGTAATGTTATTATTTTGATTGCTTCATCAAAGTAACGTAACTCATTACATTGTTACTTTCCGATGACTTTTTCCAACAAATATTATAAACAGGACAACAAGCTGAAAGTCACAATGGCTTTGCTGACCCGCGTTGCCTGTAAATATTCCAAAAGAAGGCATTTCTGTACGGCGAAAAGATGCAAAGCAACAAAATGAATATCTTATTCTGTATAAACACTTTTTACAGACATCGATAATTGTTGAAGAGCCAAAAATACAATTTCAAGCTAAATATTCACTTGAATAGAAAAAAAAACAGCAGTTGAAAATGTCTCCGGACCAAGTGCATTAATTCACTTGGAATGTGATATTAATAGTGTCTGCTATGTGTGAGCGAGAGGGAGCCACAGCATGCAGCATGAGAGGAGATGCGCGGCTCGGAAACCACACGCGCACTTCACTGGAAGCAGCTGGAATGCAGCTCGTGTGCGTGTGACCCTGCAGCATCGTCAGGGAGGGGGGGCAGGCTGCATATCATTCAGAAACATGAAACAATGATCATTATCTGTAAAAAACGTTCCAAAACAGCCACTTGCTATAGCGTCTGGAGTAAAAGATAATTGGATGAAACATGTTCAAAACACGGAGTTTATATCAGCAAGTACTTAAGAGCCAATGACTGGATCATTATTACAGCTCAGCTACGTTATGCAGCAATAAAGTGAAGTCAGCTGAGTGCCTGAATCTACTGAATGGCCAGGTTACACCTCCATCCATCATAAATGGATTTTTTCTTCCCTGTTGGCGTGGGCATATTCCAGGACAAGGATGCCAAGATTCAATGAGCTCAAATTGTCAGAGTGGTTCAGGGAGCACGAGGAATCATTTTCACGCGTGACTTGGTCACCACAGAGTTGTGACCTTAGCCTCACTGAAGGTCTCTGGGATGTGCTGAAGGAGTCTTTACGGAGGTTCAACTCACTTATCAATACAGGACCTCGGTGAGAAATTAATGCAGATCTGGATGAAAATAAAGGCTGATATGTTGCATAAGCTTGTGGAGACAATGCCATGACAAATATGCGCCATAATCAAAGCTAAAGGCGGCCCAACGAAAAATTCAAATGGCGACTTTTTTTTTGGACGGGCAGTGTATAAGCAGACTGGGCGACTCTGACCATGGTAAAGGTGGGCTTTCCTTCATTTTATGCCTGATGGGCTACATTAGGCTAACTAACATTTCACATAATAAAAAAGAATAACAAACAGCTTATGAAGGGGACGGGATCAGTGACAGTATCCATAGAAACACTTCAAAGCCAAGTTTGGATGTCAAGTGTATTTCATATTGGGTTGTAATGGTGTGTTCATATCAAGCATTTCTCTTTCATTTTTATCTTTATATATGGTTACAACTAACCTTAAATTGCATGCTTCATACCCATAATATTCAACTGCTCTGTAATGTTCTAATGACATAGACCTAAATCCATTCAATAAGGCACATTCATATAATAGCTCCATATAACTTGCTGTAACCTAAACTATCAATTAATTGATATGACCTCTCATTTAACGCTGCCTGTCTCCCAAAAAACAAGCCTCCTGTATGTAATGTGTGATTGCTGGGACCCCTCCCCTCCCTTCACCTCACCCCCAGGTCCCAGACCTCACTATTTTTCACACCCTGGTTATAGCACGGCTCCCAGTCAGCTCATGCCACATCAGGAACTGGTACGGTCCTTTCGGAGAGCTGTTCATGAGGTATTTCTTTACCTCATCCATCCTCAACTGCCCCTGTTATACTGGACAGTTTTGGACATTGTAGGTAGAGTGTATTTCCGTGTGTGCTTTCGTGCGCTTCCGGTCTCGAGACGGCAGTCTCGATGGTTGTGGTCAGCGCATGCGTACTGCAACGATATTCCTCCAGACCAGCAGAGGGCAGCGCATGCGTACTGCAGTGATATTCCTCCAGACCAGCAGAGGGCAGCGCATGCGTACTGCAGTGATATTCCTCCAGACCAGCAGAGGGCACATGTCGTCTCCAAGGTCTGAATGAAGTTTACGCAAAAGCAGAAAGACAAAAGATTCATAACAGCAAGTTTCAAGTCTTCTCAGGTTTTTAAAACTATAAGCATAATTTTCTTTTGTAAAACTACTTAACTAATGTCGGCTTTGTCTCACAAACAATTTGGACAGTAAATATATTTCATATTTACCTCTGCCTGATCATGTTTCTCGTTGAAGGTACTATTTGATTATTTTGATATAAGATTTTTGGGTAGAAATCAATAATAAACAACACATAGGTGGAATATACGGCGCCCCTAAGAGGTCAGGGCGGGAAAATATTTTTTGAAAAAGTTTTACGTTGCTTTGCAATAGTTTTGCGATCCCACTACACTTGCCCGCTTGCGATTTGCTGCAGCGCAACAGCAAGGATAAACCTAAATAATGTCTGTGTGCCCACTTCGCGTTCAATAGCCCAGCTGTCTTTAGTTACAGGTGGTGAATTGACACAGTGCCCTTATTCATAATTACATA